TATACATAGGTCTATATATAGAGAGAGAAATAGATATAGATATATGTTACATTGCAATACACATTACACTTTTTATCATAGTTTGGCATTGCATTTGTAAGTGTCTTAGTGTCATTATATTGTCTGCTGCCCTTATTACATCATGAAAAGTGTAAAACTTGAATAGTAGTGGTGTACAATACACACACATAATTGATAGAAGTTTTTATGAATATGTTCTCATGTGAATGGAGAAAAAATAAGGAAATGGCTATAGATAACACAGAATAACACTACTAGTTGTAAATATAATAAAGGGTAAGGTCACAATTGCTCACCAAACACTACGTCAGTGGATGTGAAGTAAAAAGTAGGAATTTTGTCATCTCCATGCTTCAGTATGTAAATACAGTTTGCTAACTTCTTTTGTGAAAAACTTCATATATGGAACCAGTTCAAGATCTGTCAGACGGAGTATCAGATGGGCAGAGCAAGGAGGCCATGATGTCAGTTCGTAATAGCAGTTATATAGTAGATCATATTGCTATCTCAAGTATTTACAGGTTACAAAGATGTCATAAATGTTTCTCAGGAGTACTTTGACTGATATGGAAAGGTTATCAACCTGGTATGCTTAGAGAAAAAAGTTATTTTCAGTTAGGGCATTAAGGCTGCCATATCTGAACTGTCAGAATCCAGGACACCACCGCTGACAGTCACCACGCCCCTCAGTGGTTCCACCAACACACATCTTAGGGCTGTGATGTATATATTTATGTATATTTATATGCATATTGGTGTACTATATTACATGCTTTATTTTATTATTATTATTCATTATTATAATCAATGTTATGGATAAGTGTTGTTTTTATGGGATAAAGGCTGAAATTCTGGACTTGAAAAAATGCAAAGTTTAACACCTGAACCCAGGTCAATGCCTGGAAAAAAAGGTCATATAGCAACCCAAATATTCATTCATTTGATTTTTTTTTTTTTCTAAAAATAATTTTTCATTTTATTCTATATATGATAATTATGTTGATTCTTTTTAGGAAGGTATAAAAATGCCTTATTTGGAGATTGCAACAAATATTCCTAGAGACAGAGTGACTCCTGAGATTGTTTCAACCTTTAGTAAAATTCTTAGTGAAACCATTGGGAAACCAGAACAGGTATGTATTTTATCTATTCATTTATATATAATATATATATATATATATATATATATATATATATATATATATATATATATATATATGTATATATATATATATATAATAATATAATAATTATTATTATTATTATTATTTTATTATTATTATTATTATTATTATTATTATTATTACATTATTTTATTATATTTCCATGTTTGCATGCATGCATACATACATACATACATACATACATACATATATACATATATATATATTATATATATAATATATATATATATATATATATATATATATATATATATTATAACATACATTACATACATACATACATACATACATACATACATACATACATACATACATACATACATGCATACATAAATAAATGCATGAACACATACATATACCCATGCTCATGCAGCAATAATACATAATGTTTTATAGATACACACACATGTATATGTTTATTTCCTATAACCATAGGTGTACATTTAACTCTTGGTCTATATTATTCCAAGCTGTTGGAATGATTCAGTGAATTCAAGTAAGATTTGTACATATTATTATATCTTGTATAAAAATGGCTTTGTACAGTATAGATTTCCTTGTTATTTGTAATTTATTATCTAATGTATTTATATAAGATTTTTATCTTCTCTGCAATTATTTGCTTACTTATTTGTAATTTATTTGATATATTTCTATAAGATTTTTAGCATCCCTTTAATGATTTTAATCATTTTTGTTCCAGTATTGTGTTGTTAGAGTAATTCCTGATCAGCTGATGAGTTTTGGAGGCACATTTGATCCTTGTGGTTCTGCAATTTTGATGAGCCTTGGCAAGTTAGGGGTTGAAAAAACAAAACGTATGCTTCTAAGATTTATGCAGTTGTGGAGAAATACCTTGGGATTCCTAATGATCGGTAAGGTTATTCATTTTGATACTTTACATTTTAAGGTAAATGAAACACTCTATGGACATAATTCTTTTTTGTGATTAACTTGTTCAATTTCACATTTAGAAAGCCTTTTTATTACATATAATTGTCTGAGTTACCAGGATAGACTGTAGTTCTATTTTTATGATACCATCAACAAAGTTTAAATCAAGAAAAATAAGTCTTAATTACACCTCCTTTTTTCTAGAATGTACATCCAATTCATAGATAAACAGACATCAGAAGTTGGCTTCAAAGGAACAACCTTCCACCAGATATTGGGACGTTAAAAAGTCAGAAGTTCGCAAGATCCTCAAGTGAAATGAAGATATTGCAATATGCTTTACTGTGCACACTTCTGCATCAGCACCATACATTTCACATGCAGGATAATATGAGCAGATATCGTTTATTGCTTGATGTCTTGTGATTCATGGTATCTTTAGATGCTAAGGAATGATACTCATATCATTAATCTAGATAGCTTATTATTCATCCTTGACAACTGTCAGTAGGAATGCAGCTAAAATGTTTGTACTCTTGAGTTTGCAACATAATTGAGACCTGTATTCTGGTAGATGTAGCTTGTTTCCAGATAAAGGACTATCTACTGTTAATTCTCTCTATATAAGGATAATTAGAACAAAGATGAAGAGTTGTTGAACCTTCTTTTTTATTTTCCCTTTGTGTATAACATATTCAGCAAGAGTGGACGGTTGATGTTGTAATGATATACAAAGAGATACTATATCCAAAATAGGTTTATAATTTTAAGAACAAGGAAGGTGAGATCGATTCACTAAATATATTACTGGTATGAAAGTCTGTTTCCGAGTAAGCTGTTGGATTACCAGCTCACAATACACAGATACTCCAATGTGAGACATGCATTTTTGTATGGAAGAATATACACAAATATATACAAAAAAAGTCAAAATCATATGTTACCAGACTACAATGCTGACTGTGTGATTCAAACATATTGTACTTTAGAAACATCTACATATTCATACTATAACATTGACAAAGTGACTTCATATTGGCATTACAGATCATATATACAATAAAGTCGAACCTAAAAGCTTAGGTATGACAAGTAATAACAGACCTGTGAGGAATAAGTATTACAGGAAGATCTTGTATACAAATAATAAGTCCAGAGTCCTCATTATTCAGATGATAATACTTTAAAATCAAAAGGTTTATTTTAAGTAAAGGGAAGAAAGTTTGTGTGTATGTTCAGCTTAATTGTTAAAACCATGCGAACACAACTAGTGTTAAAAAACTTAATATGAATCATAAAAAAAGATGAGAGCAATTAATGCACTTGCTAAATTGCAAGATCGACAAAAAATGCTGTCAAAGCCTAGACAGCATTTACGAGATTGTTTTGAAAGTGCATTGTATATAATATACAAAATTTTGATAATATTTAATAATAAAAAAAATAATATACAAAATTTTAGTTGATCAAGAACCAAGGAGCTTGAGCTTCCACAATTACAACATATATATTACATTGAATTTACAATTATAAGATTGAACAAAATCACATTATTTGAGGGAATTTCAATACATCATCTAATTACATTTGAATGTATAATGAAGTTTTTCATATCATAATTATATTGATATCATATATCTTAGTCTATTTTCTCTAATCCTAGGTACTTAGGCCTTTTGTTTCTGTTTTTAGTTTAATGCAAAATAAAGCTTTGTACAAAGATTTGTTTTGTCTCAGTTTCTATAACTTTATTTGGAATTACACGTGAAAATTGAAATACCTGCGAACATTACTGGATCATTGGTGCAGCATATTAGAGAAATAAATATGTATAGTCCTACTAATAATATTTCTCTTACATTTAATTGAATTTCTATCATTTTTGCTTTGACGAAGAAAGAAAATTAATATAAGCTAGTTTAACTATCTTTAAAATTAACAATGTACTTTTCCTTTTTCTGCATAGACTGCTCTGAGCTGTTACTGAAATTACTTGTCAGAGAAGTAACTCCATAGATGAAAAATACCTAACAGTATATCTAGTATTGATGAATATACTTTCCACGGGGAAATATATTTTTTATTACATTTGATCTCATATACTTTTTCATTCTCATTTTACTGAAGAATCATGGGAAAATAATGAACAGGCAGATACTCTTACATGTTCTGCATTATGTCCACATCACACCAACCCCACTGGCAGCTGGCTTTTGCCAGCTTGCACAATGGCCACACCTGCCTTTCGCATTCCTATCTCATGTCATGTTCTGATCCATCCTTATTTATCCTATGTAATTTCCTCTTTCAGTTTCACACATTTTGCTGTCCTGTCCATACTTTACTACAGCCTTTACCTCTGTTTTCCTTCTCCTATCCTCTCTTCCCTGACCTCCCAGTAGAGTCCCACACTTTTAACTTGTTCTCCTTCCTCTTCCTCAGACACATATATATCCACACTTGATATAATTCCCACTTTGCTTATTCCTACCATAATCCATTTATTCATCCTCTTCACCTTTACCCTTTCCAATATCATCCTGCTACTGTATGACTGTTGACATGTAACACCTAGTCATCCCCCTCTTCACTTATTCCAATTCTATGCCTTCCAATATAGTGCTCTGTGACCTTTAATGTCTATCACATTAATTTTGCTTTTTAACCATTAACCATTACATGATGTCTAAAACATGGAGGTTAGTAATAGCCCAAAAACAATTTTATATGATTTTTGCAGATTAGAACTATACAAAGATGAAGGGGATGCATGACCCTGCATTAAAAATGGAGCTATTAGGACTTTTTTCTGTTAATAAGCTGTGTTACATGTATGTATTTTGAAACTGGATTTTTGGTTTATTGGTAAAGTTTTCTATTTTCTATTAATGATAAACACAGTTTTGTGAGAATACTTTATTATGTACAAAATATATATAAAAATGACTCCTTTACAGAATCTATTTGTACACTGTACCAAGGTAAACTATATGGTACACAATTAAAAGTATATTTAATAGATATTCAACATTCACGGAATATTACAGGCTATTAGAAATGTTAAAATATAAAATTACACCCAAAATACAAGGGATGCTTAAAATCCAGTAAATATAAATGGTAAAATCATCTCACTATTGTATCATGTGTTTATTCCATGCCTCATTAAACCATTTTAAAAAATAATAATAATAAAGAAAAAAAAAATTAAAAGAGTTCATCAAGAATGGAATTTTGTGAATCTGTTTGAAATGATGTACAAGAACTTGATTTTTTCTCATCCTGCGTCTGATTTTTGGCTGCTTCCTTTTCAAAAGTGTTATTGGTCTGGGATGCACTAGTTCTTGGGCTACTGACATTTTCATATTTAGTCTTTCTCTTTTTGTCACTCGCTGAGGTTGGATACAATTCTGCCTCAATGCTATTGTTGAAAAGATCATCCTGCAAATCAAAGGCTCGTTTTGATGCTGTTGATGTCTTTTCAGTCAATGTATTGCCGTTTCTTCCGTGCTTCTTTGGGGAAATGCTTCTAAGGTTTTCTTCATCAGTGTCCATGCCATCTGGGTCATCTACATCAGTGTCTGAGTTGTAGCATTCGCTATCACTGCTATTTGCTTTACTCGCCTTGGAAGGAGAATCATTTGCTCTATCTTTAGTGACCAGTGTTGTGTCATTTGCCTTTGCTGAAAAAGAAAGAATTTACAGTTTAGAGGTGAAGCAATTCTAGATCTTAGATTCATTATATTTGTTTACAAAAAAAAAAAAGGAACAAGAAAAAAAAATGTTTTGTCTGTAAGTACAGTTCTATGCCTTGGTTGTAATCTATAATTACATTATAAAAACTTTAAAACATATTAAATAGATATGATACTGGTCTGCAGAAATCTTAAAAAAGGAGAAGAAAGAAAAAGGAAATACAAGAAAAAGGGAAAAAGGGAAAAGAAGAAAAAAGCAAATGTGAAAAATAGGGGAAAAGAGGAAAAGCCAAAAATAAAAAAAAAAAAAAAAAATAGCCATACAATAATGTCTTGCAAAGGGGAAGGGAGGTGTAATAATTTCAATTGCTACAAAATTATTGTGGATCATGTAGACTGCCTCCCTCGAGATTAGTTCACACTCCTTTACTACTGTTCCCTTACCTGCTGCTGATGACTGACTAGTAAGCTGACGCATCCTCAGTTTCTTCATATTGATAATGTTGGCACACTTTCCGTAAACTGCCTTTTCAAAGTCTTCCTTCATCTTCACACTTTTTGCTACTAAGTCTACAGCTTTTTTAACCTCTGAAATTGAATCACAAGTGTTAATGAATAAATTCTTATGCTTTATTATGTTCATCATATAAATATTTGTATTTCACTTATCTCTCCAGTAAAGTAACAATTACAAGCATTTTTCCTAAAATTTATTTAACTGATCAATCTGAAAAAAACACTCATACCATTTTCTTTAACTATATCTGATAATACTACAGGGTTATGCTAACTGACAAGGTGACTGAAAACAAAATGCTATTTGAATATTCTGAAATTTGAGTGCTAATGCAGTATACATTTTTTTATCACTATACCTTCTTCTTTTGCTTGCAAGTCTGATGTCAATTTGTCAATGGTTTTAACATTAGCAGTCAAGTCTCCCATGACACCATTCATGTATTTTCTAAGGCATCATCATACTCCATCTGCAATAAATAAAGTAATAATGTCTGTTAATTTAACAATAACCTTACTTCCCTTAGATTTCAGATTTATTTTATTGTTGATGCTGCACACAATGAGGGTACTAAGCTCTATAATTAGAGCCTTTTGGCAGAATGTCATTCTCAACTTCACCCATGCATGTATGGATGTACTGTCTACTGTGGTTTAGTTTTAATAACTTTTTAAAATATAGATGGACCTAGAAGCATTAAGTCATTAAGAATTCTGCTACTAGGAATCAAAAAAAGAAAAAAAAATGAATGGGTGAATGGGTAAACAAGTGAGATCATGTACGCCTAGGAATCAACTACTTGGTGATTAAGAAGCCGTGAAGCCATCTATGTCTGAAAAAAAAAACAGTCAACGGGAAATGTATCCAGACCATTGGTTAATTAATAACTGGTTAATAACTGTTACTTGTCCTATGGTGAACTTTCTAATCATATACATATATAAATACAGCTATCCTTACAGTAAACATAACCATTACAGTGCAACCAGAATATATTGATATCGATGGATCAATCCCTTGCATATATAAAAAAGGCAAAAAACAAAGTATAACAATCATGACAGCAACAAATACAATAATAATCATAATTAAATCAGTAATAATGATGATGATGATCTTTACAATTATTTTATTCACTATCATAATGATTTTTTTATCCTTATATGCTCACTTTCCAATCATAACTATAATAATATAACCTTCAATATCACTATAACTGCTAATATCATTATTAATCTCATCATATCATTACTTCCACAATCAATCACAGTCATTACAGAAAAAAAATTACCATTATTGCTAAAATTAGTCATAAACAATACAAAAAGTAAAATGAATCCAGAATTTCCCCACCTTTTCCAAGGTAAACTTTCCTCGCCTTCCATAAACTTTCTTCTCAGGAAAGTACTGCTTCCACACCAAGTGATCATCCTGAATCTCAAAGATATCTTCCTTGAGGTCCTTTCCATCAGAATCGCGAACTGATGACAAGTTCTCGACTGCCTGGCATGCAAGGGATAAGTATTCTTGTGGAGTTTTCTCAAGGTTGCGGCACCATCTTTGGACAGTATCACTCTCTGCGGTGATCTGAAATGAGGCAAAATCTGTAGATGAATTATGAATATTCCTACATAAACAAGGAATCTTGTTCCACACCTGTTGTTGCTCCAGAAGGTGGTCATGTATCTTCTAGCAACATTTAGCTCTCTGCCAACTTAATATCAAATAAAGAACTAATCCAGGTTACAAGGATTACTGCTAGATTTGCTTTCTTGTGCTAGAGGTCATTAGAGGTATGGAAGCCATGGCATAATCCTAAATGACATGTCACTGTTATGGCAGCAATCATCACTTGACACTTCTGCCCCCAATTCCTGCCCAGGAAAGCAAAGAATCCTCCATGTATTCACGGCAGGAGAGAACATCGGACAGACTTGGCAACGCTGCTCCCACATGGTAGTCATACACTCGCAACTGGCGTGAATACATGGAGGATTCTTTGTTTTCCTAGGCAGGGGTATCGGATGGCGATTTTTAAAATAGTGAAATCATTTTTCGTTTCGGGCTCTGAGACACTTGCGTGTCCAATAACTTCATTATTTTTGAGCAGCAGTTAAAGTCAATAGAAGATGAGTTCCTTGGAATCACTCGCCCCATTGTTTGCATATATTACTTTTCATCTAAACGATGGCTGTATGGAACTGAAACTATCCCTGGAATGGGACCTGTACCATAATTTCTATATATTTGGAAACTAGACTGTGAGAGGAAGTCAACGATACCAAGCCCATCTGTTATGCGGACGTAATCGAAAAAAATAGAAAAATAAAACACCAAATCGATACAACTCTATCCTAACACTCAACAAGGCCTACGTCAACGTGAGTACTGTCTCTAAAACGCCTTTATTGCCTTATTCACCTTCATGGAGTGGGCCGACCCCGCCTGCAGGAGCACCAGGAAAAGTTCCTCCTGAGAAGAACTCGAATACATGTACGACGTCTTCCCATTCTGCACGATTTTCCTCAGACCCATGGTGACCGTCAAGACTTCAACAGGTAACGGAGGGAATCGACTCTTGTCACATGAATTGCTGTCCTTACAAACAAAATAAAATGAAAGAGGTTTGTCACTGCACTGACCCCGACCTGTCCGAACGTGTTACCCGGCAACCGATGATAACAGAAGTAGTGTCTCGTATTTATATCTTGAAATTAAACGGAATATTTTTTACGTGTCAAAGAAATTTCATTTCCAATATTGTTATACATATTTTTTCCTTCTCTTTCCTCATTTCAGAATTATCGGGAAGCAGGTGAGTTTCACTCGTTTTTTCATAATATTGTAGCTACACTCAATCTATTCCAACACCAATAATACAAATAAGAATAAATCAAAATAATCATAATATCCTCTACGAAAAAAGTCAAATAACACGAAAAAATAATTTTATCGTCGCGTTCCCGCCAACGAAGCCAGAGGGATGAGAATCGGACGCTGGAGTCAGCGGAAAGTAAACAAACGTGGCCGAAGTTTCGTCCGCTCTTGGAGCTCATGTAAGAAAAGTTTTTGCGCAATAACTCTAGAATGACAGTGTTATGCAAAGTAGGAGATTTATAAGTAATCATTGATTTCGTTTGTATTTTATTCTTATTCTGGTAAGAGTGTACCCTTTTTGAAATGGCGTTTGAATTGCATCACGTTTCAACTTCCAGTTAGATTTTATTTGTTACTGACAGACCTTGCCGCAGTTGATGCGCATATTCTGGCTTAATCGTAGTCTAACCGTATTACACATGGTAGCAGGAAAGGCTATAAGTCTGGTATTTTTATTCTATATCCATGCTATTTCATCTTGTTTTAACCAGAATATCTATGATGTAATTCATGCCCTCCCCCGCTATCGGGATTAACTTATTAAGATTGTCAATGGAAATGGTCAATAGATCTTAGTAAATTTACAGCGGATGACAGTCAGGATTTAAGAATGGTTACCTTGAAGTAAACCGAGACACTTTTCAGGTATGGTAAAAGGTGCGCAAATCGAAAATAAAGAAGATACGGGATAAGAATGGGTACACAAATATTGTCAAATGCAACTGAGATAGAATAGCCATTTCATTTTAAGTAAAAGGGGTGGTCACACTTGATCATTGCCTTATTTATTTGTTTATTTAAAAAATAATATTCTGTGTTATTGCTTTAAGCACAAATTTCTTCAGAAAGGTTTGAAAAGTTTTTGTAGCTGTTATCACCCAACCTAGCTATGTTTCTTAAGATACAGGGGAAGCATGTTACAACCCCTCTAACGGGGCTATCCCCTAACCCCAGCCAACAAAGAATCCACTACCTATGTGCGTCAGGATAGAGCACAGAACAGATCTGGCATTGGGTGCTCAGAGGCGGTGTGATTGCATACATATAAGTATAAATCTAGACTAGCAGCATAATATCCTGTGATATGGTCAGCAAGATATAGCAATCATCATCCATCCTTCAGATTAGTAAATTATCATTCCAAGGGTGTATCTTGTCGTGTTCAGTCATATGCTCTGTCCTGCCATGAGTACATGGAGGATTCTTTGTCTTCCAGAGCAATGGTTGCAGGGAAGCAGTCCCCATGGTGGGTCATAGGAGGCACAGCCCCCTGCATTCGATATTAACTTATTCAGTATATATTAATATTATATATTTTTTTTTTTTTTTTTTTTGCAAAAATGTCCTACATATATGGGTAATAGATAGTAAGAGGAATTCATTGATACCGCTAGTGCTGTGATTGGTCATGAGATGATATTCTAAAGAATTACCTTTATATCATTACTATTGCAACCACCTGTAAATGTGTTACTAGGATAATTGATTTATTCACTGTAGAAGCAGAACATTTCATTTTAGAGATTTGGATCCATTTGAATACAAAACCAAGAATGAACAGACACTGATGATATCAGTAACCCAACCAAGCTCTGACTGAACTTTAGGACCTGACTGGCAAAACACTGGTGTAAATTGTGACTCAGATATGATGGATTTTGCCATCCACATCTAGTTCTACAGTAACTAAAATCCATCATAACCAATATTAGCAATTTCACATAAAATACTGGGAAACTGGGAAATGAAAGGTCTACACTGTGACAACATGAATCATGCTTGTACATATACTGTATTTAATGGGCTCATGTCATATCAGACTACTTACTTAGTGATTTCAATTGTATATTAGGGTTTTGAACATTGATATTAAAGAATTACCAGTGCCTCCAAGTATAATTAGGCAAACCTTTTCCCTGCTACTCTATTATTTTGTTTTGCTACTGCAGCAACAATCAGCTGTTACCTGAGAGAATGGACCTTCATGGAATATTGCATGCCAGTACTAATGAGATATACTATAATAAGAATTCAGGATTTTATGTAACTTTGATCAGAATAAGTTTAGGTTTATTAAATGAAAACTTTTCTTTTATGATATCCATGAACATTTGTAGAATAATTATATTAGCATTGAATAGATATATGTATGAATAGATAAAGAGTAAATAAGCAATGCCTTTGCTATTTATGACCAGTTTCTTCATTTTACCTGTATGAATATTTTTTTAGACATTGTTTGATGCTTACAACCAAGATTCATATACTCGCAGTCAGTTGTATATTTTTTTCTTCTAGACACACCATGATGGCGACGATTATCCGTATAAAAAGACGACATGATGAGGAACCTACAGAAAATATCATCGTTAAAGCCAAGCGCAGTCGAGTAGAGGAGGAAGATGGGCAGCTGCTTTGTGTGAATCTTCTCCAGAATCCAGTCACACCATCATGACTAGAGTTGGAACTGTGAATTCCAAGGTATATATGTTATATTGCTTATTGCATATACCAAAAAATGGCAAAAATATTACTAAGGATGTACTTTTTTCTACCACATCATAGCTATACTTCTTTTTCATAGAGAAAAGGTACACAAAGGCAAATAAATCTATATTAGGACTCATATGGCCAGTCTGTTCAAACTGTATGAGGCCTGACCCTATGAATATTCAATATATATAGGCATGAATGTACACAGAAAAAAGTGTTGTCTATTCATATGATATACAGTGGTGTAGATAGAGTGGGGGTATGGGGGGGCAGTGGCCCCCTTTCAAGTAAAGAGTTAGATTTGTCAGAAATTTTCAAACCTAGTCACAAAAATGTGCCTGCAATCTGTTTTCTTTTGATGTGCTTATTCATTTTAGCAGACTTAGATGAATTATCATTCAATTCTCATGGAAATTATAACAAGTTTATTTACACAAGTGCTGTTTCTGATAAGTGCAGCATTGCCACTGCATCACCAGTCATTCTTGTTTTCTTTCTGCATTGAAAGATGGAACTAATCTAATTATTTTGTCAGAAAATCTGTGAATCTCCCCTCCTCCTATCAAATTTCCTATCTATGCCACTGATATATTCACTTACTTCTGTGTATATGGATGTCCATATATATGAATATTCCTTGAGTCAGGCTTCACATAATTTTAACAAACCGGACGATGGAGTATGTGTTTATTTGTCTGTCTATGAATCTTTTTCTCTCTAACCCACTAATGCCAGATGATATCTATTTACACCATGGTTAGCTGGCCCAAATACCCAGTATCATCTTGGCCTCATATTCTCAAGAATGAGAAAAGAGTGTGTGTGTGTGTATGTGTGTGTGGTGTTGTGTGTGTGTGTGTGTGTGTGTGTGTGTGTGTGTGTGTGTGTGTGTGTGTGTGTGTGTGTGTGTGTGTGTGTGTGTGTGTGTGTGTGTGTGTGTGCGTGCGCGTTTTTTTTTTTTTTTTTTTTTTTTTTTTTTTCATGTGTGGTGTGTGTGTGTGTGTGTGTGTGTGTGTGTGTTGTGTGTGTGTGTGTGTGTGTGTGTGTGTGTGTGTGTGTGTGTGTGTGTGTGTGTGTGTGTGTGTGTGTGTGTGTGTGTGTGTGTGTGTGTGGTAAAGTGTGTGTGTGCGGTCAAGAGTGTGTGTGTGAGTGTGAGTGTGTGTGTGTGTGGTGTGTGTGTGTGTGTGTGTGTGTGTGTGTGTGTGTGTGTGTGTGTGGTGTGTGTGTGTGTGTGGTCGAGTGTGCGTGTGTGGTCGAGTGTGTGTGCATATGTGCAAGTGTACTTTTTAGACTAAAATACTTATGAAGTAGTGATGATCTGATCTATATTTACTGTTGGTGTCTTCATTTCAGGAAGATGATGTGCAGCAACATGTTCTGAAAGTGATGAAGGAGCATAAGACGGGATGGCAGTTAAGAGAACAGTACAAAAAGTTGGGAAATGCTCATAGTATAAAGGCTTCTGTCAAGGAGGCTGTTAAGAACAGAGTCAATAGCAAACGGTATAAGGCAAGTATATGAATATTTTTCATTCCCTGGTTGCAGAACCAAGAATATTGAAGGCAGTTTTGAATTACTGTATAGTTTGTTTGCAGTGATCCAAAGGAATTAGACATTCTATTCTTGCAGATAGTAGCAGCTTGTCGAGGAATCGAGGATAAGACAGACCAGAAGGGAAATTGCCAGATTGGGGAAAAGAAGGATGTTGATGAATCAAAACAGCTGTGGCCATCACAACAGAGGAATATAAACTGTATGATGCTATGCTGCCAGAGATTGATACGGTAAAGTACAAATGTTTTATGCAATGAATATTTACAGTTTTACAGATGTAACTTGCATATCTATTACCCAGTTACAATTTACTATTGTGATACATTATTCTTATATATTTCCAAGGCTAGGCCTTAAAGAGATATTTTCCAAAGAAACTGGAAAGCCTAGATGATGCCACAGAGGCACTCTATCTCCCTAAGTCTTTTCCAAGTTATTCTCATGTCTGACTTGGGTGCAGCTCAGGGCAAAGGATCTTTCACGTCATGTTATGATGCTGTGTGCATTACATTTTATGCTGTTCTTTATAAGGAGCCCTGGGTGATTGCCTGAGGGAGAACAGGATGTATGATGCCATGGTTTATCATTGTTTTATATAAACAGAATTTTAGCACATAAAGCATAAAGCCTGCTATACAAGGAAGATGCCATGCACCAAAACTGGTGCTCTCTTGGTGATGATGTGAACCTGTAAGTAACCTTCACTCTTGTCAATGAGATCAGTGTCATGTCAATTACTCATATTGCCTTATGAGGTGCTCTGGAAATGTGACTGTCTTGACACACAAAAGGAAAGTACTGAGGCTATAGGAGAGGCAGTCGTATATCATCTACAATCTCTTATTTAGTAAACATAATTTTTGTGAAAGTGATTTCATAGATTTTTTATCCCTCAATAAAATCAGATTCCATCTTTTACTCAGACTGGAACATATCTTGTTTATGGAAATGGACTCTAAGGTACATAATCAGGCTACTACAGGTTTGATCTAGCAACTAAAATGCATGTCATGGATCTATGAATGTGCAAAAGCTTTAAAATCATGTTTTGCATGTAAGTCATGTAAGTGATATGAAAAAGTCATAATTTTGTGTGTGTGGTGTGGTGTGGTGAGTGCTATGCACCAGCCACATATGAAAAGGCTTGGAGGCAAGCCCAATCAGTCATACATACTTCCTGGAGCAGAGGCCAATTGAATCCCATTTTCTCATGGAGGCAATGGGTTAAAAACTTTAAAAAAAAATTACTTTCATTCAGTAACTGTCTAACTCCTTTTCTCTCTTATTCATTTATTCATTTACTTGTTCATTCACTCCTGTCTTTTTATCTTCCTTTTATTCTTTCATTCTCAGCTTCTCTCATTCATTCATTCATACTCCCCCCTTTCTTTTATTCCCTCATTCACTTTTTCATGCATTTGCTTTCTCTCTCTTTTCTTTTTTGGCAGGAATCATAGGCATCATCTGCTTCCCATTACTGATGTATAAAGTTCCTATAAAGATTTAATAGCTAAAGCTGTTAAAATGTCACTGTAAACCAATCATTTCTTTGTTACTGTTTGTAAAAAAATGTCCTAAAAAGTAAGTTGGTCTGAGGAAATACTTTTATTTCTGTCACACAATTCTAACATTGAATTGCCTACTGTTATGTGATTGAGGCTTCCTGTATTTTATGGGGATTCACATTTGTGATGTGATTAAGCATCCTGCATTGGGGGGGGATTCACATTCACTATGTAGGCATGGTTCATCAGCAATTTTGGCA